GCCAACCACCAGTAGTAAACAAGAAGAAGAAGCGAAGCAGTGTAGACGGGTGTAGCAGAAAAAAATCAGTTATTGTGGAGTTTTGTGAGGGTATGGCGAGTGGGAAAGAACAGGAGTTGGAAGACGCGCCAGCAGCACTTTATAGGTCTGCTGTATGGGATCACTTTGCATTTAGAGTGACCTACGATGATGGCGGAAAGAAAGTTGTGGATAAAAGTGCAACAGTGTGCAAGCATAGTGCAACACTTTTTGTTTATGCTAACAGCAACATGACCAACATGTCATGCTAACCCCGAAATCCCACATACTCCGTCAGCGCTCCGCCCTGCTGCGCTCCAGACCGCCTGCACAAAGCAAAGCCTACAGCCTCCACTGTGGCTCCCGTCCGCTCCGCTCTGAGTTCCTTGGAGATCGTAGAGGGCCTGCGCGAGATGATTAAATTCAAAGCAGCAAAACATGCGGAAATGATCCAGGGTTTCCGCGGATCATAAAAAATAATTACAATTCATTAATTTTTTTGTATTTTTTTATTAATTTTATAAATTTTTATGTGATTTCGGTGTATCAGTCAACATATACCGAACTGAATCGAACCGTGGATTTTGTGAACCGTTCCACCCCTAATATATATATAAGGACCAACACAAAGTAGTGTGGATACAATTTTAAAATATTCAAAATGTTTTATAAACAAAGATCTAAATAATGTGTTTTTGCATTCAGCAACCTTGAGTTGATAAACTATTAAGACAGTTTTCACTTAAATCACAGCTACATGTACAAACCAGCTTAACATGAACCAGCTTTATCTAGAGTCTAAGATTACAGATTCAGATTAACAGATATCCCCCACATGACGTCTGGTAAATAAGATTTCCTATGGTTTTCATTTCAACAACGGGTCACTTACAGATCTGCCTTTTGATGACTCTTATCTTGGATCTTGTTCATTCATTTCTACCACAACCCTATTCAGTAGATGAACTTGTTAGTTTAATTACTCTTTTACTGTATAAAAACTAAAGGAAAAGCTGCACTTCTTATCCCCCAGTATAAAACAAATCTTGTTAGCTTAATATTTATTTACATTGTATGTAAATAGATTTATTAGAAGGCTGTCCTTAAAACAAAGCCTGGAATTGCCTGAAATAAGAACTACTTTATTGCAATTAATGTAATGCCTGCAACTGTCTTTAGACCACCCAATGTATTTGGATAGCTCTCTTCAATGGCTTTGTATGCCACTGATCTATTTTGGACTAGTTTTCCTCCAGTACTGGAAACAGAATCTGTAAATATGGCAGTTAATTTGTCACGCCGTTCCCTAAAGGAATTTTGGCTAAATAGGTTTAAAGATAAGCTGGTGATGCAGAGAGTATTAAGAGGCTTGGTGGCCAGAAAATAAATGCAATCCATCTTCACTAAACATCTAAACACAAATAACCTATTATAGATATCTCTAAAAAAATCTTTTATTTATTAACCTTCTCAGGGGGTTAATTGGAATGATTCATGAGGCACAACCAATCTCCTCTTTAGTAATGACAGGATATTGACAGAACACAAAAGGTAGACACAAAATCATACAAAAATGTAGTCACAAAAAAGGATGTCACATTGATTGTCACAAGAGTTTATACCTCATTTACCTTTAAAAACATTCTTACCTGTAACAGATTTGAGCTAATTCTGATAAGGATGAGTTGTGTTGTGGTTTTTTTGTTGTTTTTTTGCCAAGAAACACAATTAGCCCTCAAAAGTAATGATATCTATGAAGTCAGATATTTCAAAATAAAGTTTAGGAACCGCAATGCCAAGCTGACCCAGTGCTGATCTGATTATCCTGTATACAGGGCTGCCTAAATCCAGACCTAGAGAGCAAAAATCCTGCAACTTTAAGATGCATCCGCTCTCCAACACACCCGTAACAAATGAGTGGCTTGTTACCAAGCCTCTGCTGAGCTCAATGACATGCTGGGGGATTTCAGCTTTTAAATTCAGAAGTTAGGAAAGAAGGGCATCTAAAATATACATCTTTCTATTTAGGGCAGCCATTCTGTTCCAATTAATTTAAATATTCTATTTTTATTTTATTTTTTTTCTGCTTTTTGGAGATGGTTTCACTACTTGAAAAATTTTACAATTTTTTGTAAAATAAATAATTTGTGGAAAGTCATTTTATAAATTACCCCATTGTGGGACAATAAAGGGATTTTCTATTCCATATAAAAAGTACGATGGCATATTTACACAGATCAAAGTCCAATGCTTTTGCACAACATTTATCTGTCACTGTAATGCAGAAGAGCAGACTCCAGACTCATCTGTAACATTTTGTATTTCTTAAGAAAATTTTATTTTCCCTCCTTCCTATTAAAAAACAGACCTTAAGTCATCCTTTGTATGTTTTGTCATTAAACATGTTTTTGGTTTTTATTCCTTCACCCTTAGAAAGTAACCATATTGCTTTGAATTACACTTCAGTCAAGGTCTGAAAAGCCTCACAGGGGACAGGCAACTGCCTTAGAACAACAGAATATTTTAAGTTTAATTAGGAAGAAATATTTTGTTATATAGCTAAAAAAAACAATGCTTAGGGAAAGTATTGTTACTCTTTGACCTTCTTTCTTTTTCGATTTGTTGCAAAATACATAAATGCATGAAAAATACTGCATGTGACAGAACTGAACACAGCACATCCTGAACAAACCACCCTGAGTAAAATAATAGGAGAGCATTATGTGTTGTGAAGTCTTTTTTCAACAAGGTCAGTGAAGTTGATTTGTTTTGTCAAATATATTTCTTCTTAAAGTTTAATGCTGTTAAAAAAAAGTTGCTTTAACTTGTACTAGGCTTCTAACTAAAAACACCCTAACAAGAAAAAACTGCACAATGATCCTACTGATTTGATGCAAGCAACTGAAATAGTGCTAAGATTTGATATTATCCTTTTATTCAAACTTTGAATTATAGGAATAAATGGACTTCAGAAAATTGCTAGAATAAATTTACAATTACAGAGTTGGGCATATTTGACCTTGCAAGCAAGATTAATTCTTTCTAGATTTTGGAATTGCAAACACCCAAAAATATATCTTGCCAGAAGTTGCATTACCCTCGGATACAGATTTCGAACCAATGAAATTCAGTGATATTTATGATGCCAACCAACAGTACAAGCTGAAGTAAAAACCAACCTGGCTGTGCTGGTGGATGTACCTCTAGACTCCTCTGTTTTAACTGCAATACCATTTTAATTCTTGTTTGAAAACATGCAAAAGAATGCATTTTGTGCCTTTGTGGATGGGAAAGAAGATAGTGTGTTCCACCCAACTAAATTTGGGAAGAATTTGATTTATCAGTTATCTCCTCTAGTTGTGATACATCACAGCTGCTACTGATGCTGCTTTTGGCTAAAAGCTTGACATGGGAGGCAGATGCCACTTGGTGATTTACCCAATCAGCTTGAAGAATTGTACTGGAAGTTCCTCCTTTTTTGGGAACACTTTCCACAGGAGCCTTTCCAGATGGATACTGTGTAGATTTCAAATTGAATTACATGTATCAATCTGGTATATGGCAGACAGGTTAGGCCATATTCACAGCTATAGCTAAATTAAAAAGTTCAAAACAGTGACAAGCAAGGCTGGATGAACACACAAGAATTTACTTCCCCACCATTCACAATGAGGTTAATAATGAAGTATCTCAGAAAATCTCAAAAGGGCCACTTTTGGGGAACTATAGTATTTTTCACTGTTGGATTACAGGTCTGCCAAAAATGTAAATTCATTTTCTTTCTTTTGGCATAAATGCATAAGGTTCTTCCTTTATATGCAGTAAAAAAGTAATTCAGAGAACAAAGATTTTGTGGTGTCAATTTAAATCCAGTCAAATATTAGTTTTGTTTTGTTTATTCAACTTTTTTCAATTTTGCTATATATTTATAAGAAATACAGACAAACTGAAAAGTTGCCTCTGGTCGACTCAAAGTGCAACAAACAACTATTATTTAAAATTCAATGCAATAGAAAAATAATGTAAAGAGTGACTGAACATAGAAAAACCCTTTGAGTTTCAAAAAATATAGTAGAAAGAAGCTGTGTAGGGTTGTTTTTAATGTATTTATTGTTAACAACCAGTAAGAATTTAATTTAGGAATAAGGTAGGACATTTTTTAGAGGCTAATACACTGTCACCTGTTAAATGATAGCCAGAGCAATATATTCCTCTGCAGACTTAGTATGGTGTGATGCTATGTTGTGTTTTCTTTCTATTTCTCTAAAAAACCTAATCGCTCTGCATCCTTTCTTTGCTTTTGTACACAAAACCCAGGCCGGTAGAGAATGACAACACCTTACGGATCAAAAACGAGAAGACACGCTCGCTTTTGCTGTTTACCAATGTGACAGAGAAACATTTTGGCAACTACACTTGCTTCGCCTCAAACCGCCTGGGTTCCTCCAACGCCAGTATGCTGCTGTTTCGTAAGTTATCACACACATCTCGCACACCCATGTGTGCAAGCACATCGATTTTTCAAAATGTGCTCACATTTATCTTTTGTGACTTTTTGGAGTTAGAAAGGACTGTCTGCTGCAAAAATATTCTAAATCTGTTTTTGCTCTGCACACTGCATAGCCTTCACTCAGCCTTTACACTCCCTCCTTCTTTCCATTTACGTTATTCTCCGCCCCATTAAAGCCTTACTTGCCTATATTACAGCCTCTTTCTCTTTTTGTGTGCTCAGACTCTCCCCCACCATCGCTCGTCTGTTCGCACACCCGCCTGTACACACAGACTGTTGCTTTGTTCTGTCCTGTTACCCGAGAAGTTGTCATTTCTCTCGAAGCCCAATTCACATTAAACGTCCCCAATGAGCGATTTCCTACCCTTCCATTTCCCATCACCCTCCCTTTAGTGCGTTTGGCATTACCATCTTAAGTGAGTCCTTCATCTATCCCTTTTCTTCTTCCATTCCTTTCCCCATTATCTCTTCCAGTCTCCCTTCAATGACTCACTCGTCCATCAGTCCCATACATCTTTCTGCTCTCTTTTTTCACCACTGCAGTCACTTGTGTCAGCCTATCTCTCCATCATCTGTCCTTCTGCCTCCTTTTCCCCTCCTAATCTTCTATTGCCATCATTAAAATACAACAAACCCCGCTTCTTTCCCCAACCAGCTGAGGAGAATCGGACCATAATCAGTCTTTTTGTGGTATTTCTGTTCATATTTTGTCCCTTGGTGTCATTAACTCACCTGACTTTATTTCCCTGCTGCTGTACCTCTTTGTTCACCATTTTAAAGGTACGCCATGCAGTTTTTTAACACCACCAACCCTCAATCATGTCAAAATTGGCACATTATTGCAATTACTGCCTGTCGATGAGTCCATTACATATATCATTTTCAGTCACTGCAAGCTTTCGCTTTTTAGTTGTAGACTGCAGCATAAAACGTCTGCTTTTATCTCTGTAAACTGTAAAACAAGCGGAAATAGAAAGACAGAAGGTTAATGAAGGGTTTTGCGTTTAACCTTTTAAGTGTTATCTCCCTACCTTTTCAGATGGCATGATAATGCTAGCATGATACATTTCACTTGTTTTCCTAGAGTAATATGCCTATTCTAGACCAAACAGTGTCTTTTGGTAAAGGCTTTCAGGATTAAAGCAGACTCACCTTGAATTTAACCCACAGGAAACAGGAGATTTTCTTTATGTAGCTGATTTCCCACCGAGCAAAAATTGGTTGAAAAGACATAAAGAGGACATGATTTATGTCCAATCAATGTATACATTTGGTTGAAATGTGAAAGGTTTAAAGCCATTATTTTCAGATCGTTGGAAAGATATTTAAAACTGGCTTTGCAACGTCTTTTCGACATCTATTATTGGACTAAAATGGGACGTCTAGTGTTTGGAGGTTTAATACTTAAGGCTATTCTGTTTTAACTTCTATTACCTAAAATAGA